ACAATGAAGACTGACGGGCTGACAGACTGACAGACTGACGGGCCTGAGGGCTGACTGACACAGTCTGACAGACGGCGAACTGACGAGCTGACGAACTGGCGGACTGACGGACTGACGGGCCCGACGGACTGACGGAGCTGACGGGCGGCAGACTGACAGACTGACCCAGACTGACGAGCTGACGGGCTGACAGACGACAGACTGACGGGCGACGAATGACGCCAGGCTGACGACTGACTGACGGCAGACTGACAGCAGACTGACGGGCTGACTGAATGACAGACTGACCCCAGACTGACGGGCTGACGGGCTGACAGACTGACGGGCTGACAGGCCCTGACAGACTGGCGGGCTGACGGGCGACCCCGACTGACAGACGACGGGCAGGCTGACGGGCTGACGAGCGACGGGCTGACGGGCTGACGGGCTGACAGACTGACGGAGCCTGACAGACGCCAGACTGACGAACTGACGGGCTGACAGACTGACGAAGAGCGGCTGACGAGCTGACAGACTGACGGGCTGACAGCAGACGAGCTGACGAACCGACGGGCTGACGAACTGACGGAGCTGACGAAGGCTGACAGACTGACGGGCGACGGTCTGACGGGTGGCATGCCGGAGCGACAGACTGACAGGCGACACGGACTGACCGGAGCTGACGGGCTGACGGGACTGACGGGCGGCAGACGGCAGACTGACGGGCTGACCAGACTGACGGGCGACGGAGCTGACAGGCGACGAGACTGACGGGACTGACGGACGTGACGGAGCTGACGGACTGACAGACGACGACTGACGGGCTGACGAGACTGACGGACTGACAGACTGACAGAGACGGACTGACCAGACTGACAGACTGACAGACTGACGGAGCTGACAGACTGACGAGGCGACGGCGAAGACTGACGGGCTGACAGGGCTGACGGGCTGACAGACTGACGGACTGACGGGCTGACGGAGCTGACGGGACTGACAGGCTGACGGGCTGACGGGCGACGGGCGACGGGCGACGGGGCGACGGAGCGAGCGGGACGGCAGGCTGACGGGCTGACAGACGACAGGCTGACGGGCTGACGAGGCTGACGGGCTGACAGGCGACGGAGCTGACAGGCTGACGGGCTGACAGAGCTGACGGGACTGACAGGCAGACAGACTGACAGACTGACGGGCTGACAGGCTGACAGGTGGAAGCGACAGGCGACAGGCTGACGGGCGGCGGGCGAGCGGGCGGCAGACTGACGGGCGGCGAACTGACAGGCTGACGGGCTGAGCGGGCGGCAGACTGGCGAGACTGGCGACAGACTGACAGGCGACGGAGCTGACCGGGCTGACGGGCTGACAGACTGACGGGCTGACGGGCGACGGGCTGACGGGCTGACGGACTGACAGGCGACGGAGCTGACAGGCTGACGGAGCTGACGGAGCTGACGGCGACTGACAGACTGACGAACTGACAGAGCTGACAGACTGACAGACTGACAGACTGACAGACTGAGACAGACTGACAGACGACAGACGGCAGTCGACAGACCTGAGACTGACGGAGCTGACAGACTGACAGACTGACAGACTGACAGAGCTGACAGACTGACAGACTGACAGACTGGAGCTGGTGACGAGCTGACAGACTGACAGAACTGACAGACCGACAGACTGCACAGACTGACAGACTGACAGGTGACAGACTGACAGGACGTGGACTGACAGACTTGACAGACTGACAGACTGACAGGCTGACAGACTGACAGACTGACAGACTGACAGACTGACAAGACTGACAGACTGACAGACTGGCGAGCGACAGGCCGACGGAGACTGACGGGCTGACGACTGACAGACTGACAGACGACGGACTGACAGACTGACAGACTGACAGACTGACAGACTGACAGACTGACAGACTGAGACTGACGGGGACTGACGGGCTGACGGGCTGACGGGCGGACAGACTGACAGACTGACAGACTGACAGACTGACGGACTGACAGACTGACGCAGACTGACGGGCGACAGACTGACAGACTGACAGACGACGGGCTGACAGACTGACGGGCTGACAGACTGGACAAGCTGACAGACTGACGAACTGACAGACTGACAGACTGACGGGCTGACGACAGACTGAGCTGACAGACTGACAGACTGACAGGACGACAGACTGACAGACTGACAGACTGACAGACGACAGGCGACGGACTGACAGACTGACAGACTGACGGACTGACAGGCCGACCAGACTGACACGGGCTAACGGGCTGACAGACTGACAGACGAGACTGACAGACTGACAGGCGACAGACTGACAGACTGACAGACTGACAGAGCTGACAGACTGACGGGCTGACGGGCTGACAGAACGACAGACGAAGACTGACGGACTGACGCAGACTGACGACTGACAACTGACAGGACTGACAGACTGACAGACGACAGACTGACAGACTGACAGACTGACAGACTGACAGACTGACGGGCTGACAGACTGACCGGCTGACAGGCTGACAGACTGACAGACTGACAGACTGACTGGCTGACGGGCAGACGGGCTGACAGACTGACAGGGACAGACTGACAGACTGACAGACTGACAGACTGACAGACTGACAGACTGACAGACTGACAGACTGACAGACTGACAGACTGACAGACTGACAGACTGACAGACTGACAGACTGACAGACTGACAGACTGACAGACTGACAGACTGACAGACTGACAGACTGACAGACTGACAGACCTGCAGACTGACAGACTGGCGCGGCTGACAGACTGACAGACTGACAGACTGACAGACTGACAGACTGACAGACTGACAGACTGACAGACTGACAGACTGACAGACTGACAGACTGACAGACCTGCAGACTGACAGACTGACAGACTGACAGACTGACAGACTGACAGACTGACAGACTGACAGACTGACAGACTGACAGACTGACAGACTGACAGACTGACAGACTGACAGACTGACAGACTGACAGACTGACAGCCAGACTGACAGACTGACAGACAGACTGACAGACTGACAGACTGACAGACTGACAGACTGACAGACTGACAGACTGACAGACTGACAGACTGACAGACTGACAGACTGACAGACTGACAGACTGACAGACTGACAGACTGACAGACTGACAGACTGACAGACTGACAGACTGACAGACTGACAGACTGACAGACTGACAGACTGACAGGCTGACAGACTGACAGACTGACAGACTGACAGACTGACAGACTGACAGACTGACAGACTGACAGACTGACAGACTGACAGACTGACAGACTGCCAGACTGACAGACTGACAGACAGACTGACAGACTGACAGACTGACAGACTGACAGACTGACAGACTGACAGACTGACAGACTGACAGACTGACAGACTGACAGACTGACAGACTGACAGACTGACAGACTGACAGACTGACAGACTGACAGACTGACAGACTGACAGACAGACAGACTGACAGACTGACAGACTGACAGACTGACAGACTGACAGACTGACAGACTGACAGACTGACAGACTGACAGACTGACAGACTGACTGACAGACTGACAGACTGACAGACTGACAGACTGACAGACTGACAGACTGACAGACTGACAGACTGACAGACTGACAGACTGACAGACTGACAGACTGACAGACTGACAGACTGACAGACTGACAGACGGACAGACTGACAGACTGACAGACTGACAGACTGACAGACTGACAGACTGACAGACTGACAGACTGACAGACTGACAGACTGACAGACTGACAGACTGACAGACTGACAGACTGACAGACTGACAGACTGACAGACTGACAGACTGACAGACTGACAGACTGACAGACTGACAGACTGACAGACTGACAGACTGACAGACTGACAGACTGACAGACTGACAGACTGACAGACTGACAGACTGACAGACTGACAGACTGACAGACTGACAGACTGACAGACTGACAGCCTGACAGACTGACAGACTGACAGACTGACAGACTGACAGACTGACAGACTGACAGACTGACAGACTGACAGACTGACAGACTGACAGACTGACAGACTGACAGACTGACAGACTGACAGACTGACAGACTGACAGACTGACAGACTGACAGACTGACAGACTGACAGACTGACAGACTGACAGACTGACAGACTGACAGACTGACAGACTGACAGACTGACAGACTGACAGACTGACAGACTGACAGACTGACAGACTGACAGACTGACAAATGCTAACTTACAGTAATATGCAGGTCGTTGCAGTGTAGACGGGATCGGCTGGGAACCCAAGTCAAGATTCTTGCGAGGCGAGTGGGGTGCACAGAGCGTTTTTCATTGTAGCAGAAGTTTTTGATTGCAAATGTACCATTGTGCCCCAGTGATAATTCGGAGGTTTTTCGATTGAACGCGCTGTATAATGTCTATGTTTGTTCTGCTGGTTCCCCCATAGCTGGGAGCCATATGTGCAGATGGGCTTGAGGATGGAGGTGTAGAGCAAAACCTTGTACGACGCAGGGGCGAACGGGCGTTAAAAATCCAGTGGGGTCTGTTGGCTTTTAGTTTTAGATGTTGTATTTTGCATTGGATGTTCCATTGTTCCATGGATTTGACGAAAGCCACATTGATGAGCAGGGATAACATTGTGTGCTTCTAGATATGGTATTATGCGAGTTAAAATGCATTTTTCGAACAACTTAGACAGACACGATAACAAACTGATTGGTCTGTACGATGACGAAATTGTATGGTTTTTTCCGGCCCTCAGTATCATAATGATAATAGATTTTTTCCATTTTTTTTGGATAGTAGCCGAGTGTCATTATCCCATTGAAGAGCTTACAAATAACCTTAATGGCAGAATTTTAAAGTTCGATTAACATTTTGGTATTAGTTGGTCACCGCCAGGGGCCTTTTTCTGTTTCAGTTCCCCAATGACTTTCGAGATCTCCTTTGGCAGAAACCATATTGGTAGGGAAATATATTCAGATTCGATTTGTGGTAGGACAACTGAACAAGTGGCGGGGTTTGGCTGGAAGACGCGAAGTTAAATTTATGGTTAAATTTGATGAGTGAGCGTACATACTTTTTGTATTTTAACCAGTTAGCTTTGAAGCAGAGCTATTTGCACTTGCGAATGGTCTGACGACAGGTCCGAAAGCGCTTTGGCGCTTATTAAATTGCGGGGAATGTTTTTGTCACCGCAAAGTCTGTTAGGTCTGGAACTTTCCTGGGGTATGTTGGCCAGTATGTTTTGAGTATATTTCGGAGAGGATGTAATTCACCATTTTGATAGGCATGTGACTTTAACCCTTAAGGATGGGGTGTGCTGGTAGTTACTAATTTTGGTAAAAATGGAGCATATGTGTGAACTGAGGCTGTGTCTTCATGCGTTTATAGATCTGGTCTTTTTCTCTTTTTTTTATTTCTTCTAGTAATTGGCGTGGCGTGAGATAATAATTAGCAAAATTGGCAACAAAGCCTCGCTGTATCTGACAGAACTGGGTACGAAATACCAGAACTTTAACAATCAAGTGACCAACAATGACGACCCGCAGGCTGATGACTGTAATTCTCCGACATGTACATAGGATCTCCGGACGCCTGGCATATGGTATTAGAAGGATACGGAAGACAATGCTGACGAACATATTAATGGCTGAAGAGAATGACGCATGATAGTTCAGTGAAAATATCGGTGTGTGGGAAATACTGGTCAGAAAAGAAGGCTACAGATTCATATACCATTTCATGGTTTCTATGGACATCAACTTCGTTCACAATCACTGTTTAACAGTTTGTTCACTGTTTGATGTCCAATCGATAGGAACGATGTCCGATGGTTCTGCGGACTATGGTCAATCTTTTTATACATATTCTTAAAGTCAACATTTGTATACGATTAATGCATACCCATTTCAAATTGCTTAAGATTTAATTCACCCTTACCGTCAAGTGTGCGCTCTTGTCTGATTATGCGCGGAGGTGCAAAGTCACCTCAACCTTCAGGTCTGTGCTCATGTATGCTTGTGTGCGGAGGCGTGGAATTTTATTTTTAAGAGTTTTAATGAAAAGCTACAGTTTGTAACTTACAAAGGCATTGCTTTCTAACGACACTAAACTCATTTTTTTAGTAGTGAACCTTTAGGCATTCCATCGTACAAAAGGATAAACCATGATGCTTTACAAATATTCTTAACTTTAAGGTATTTTATTGATATATGTACTATGGAAACGGACTTAAATATACCTTTATTTTTGAAACACTAAGTAACTATAGGGACATCTATGAGCAACAGTCTCCGACACCGCTGGCCTAGAAAACGCTGATCTTGCACACACGCAAGAATAGGGCGATCGCTATTGGCCAATGTGCCTACCGAAAAGCAAAAGTTTCCGTGGCCAAAACTCATTTTTCGCGAGTATGAAAATTTCCTGTTTATCAATCTTACCATTTTAGAAAATTATCAAACTGCTAAGTTACATACCTAAAATGGTAACTTAACAGCTTAGTGCAAGTGAACACCACATGCTGTTTTAAATGATTACTTTGTGGTCCAATTTCAAATTGGCATATCTGTAATATATGTATCTATAAGATAACCGTTACTATATTACACAATTTGAAAATATTCATTTTGCTATTGAAAATTACCCAAGTGCCACCTATTGTCGGAGAAAGCATGTTGAGTAATTGCTAGTGACGTCACAAGCCATGTGAGGCATAATAACCTAAATTTCTTCATAAGTAGCGATATATATGTTCCGATTTAAGAAATCTTTTGTAAATCGATAGATATTAACAGAAAGAAGTTATACAAGGTCAAACGAAGCATTCATAATATAATTATAGACGCCACAGTGTTTCGCGGTTTGTGGGCTTTAGAAGGCGTGGCCGGATGAAAACTCGTGGAAAGTTGCAGCGGCATCCCTAAAATACGTGTTTTTAAGCCTAACTATCTAGTTTTTTTACTTTTTGAGATTTTTGTATTTTTGATTTTTTGGCTTTTGTGGGAGTCAGGGTGGGCGTGGCTAGATGGATAAAAAACAATTCGCATTTGGGGCATCATAAAAATTTACATGCGTAATCCGAACTTTCTATCACTTATAGATACCGAGATATCAGGTTTTCTTGAAAATGCGAAAAGCGTCTTTTGAGCTTGGAGGGCATATGGGTGGGTGTGGCCAGATGATAGTACTACTAAAAGATGCGCTGGCATCCAAAGTTTATACATACTGAATTTCAACATTCTAGCTCTAATAGTTTTCGAGATTTCAGCGATTTTAGTTTATCGCGATTTGTGGGCGATAAACTTGCGCTGTCCCGGGACCTCAAGAATCTTCATGCTTAATCTCAACTTTGTATCTGCTATAGTTCCTAAGATCTCAGCGTTCAAGGACGGACGGACGGACGGACAGACGGACATGGCTCAATTGACTTTGCTATTTATCCTGATCAAGAATATATATACTTTGTAGGGTCGGAATCGCTTCCTTCTATCGGTTACATACTTTTCAACGAATCTAGTATACCCTTTTACTCTACGAGTAAAGGTATAATGATTTTTGATTCTTCAGGTTAGTACTATGTGTTTATCCTAATAGTTTGTGTATTTCGTTCGTATTTTTCTAAAAACTTGTATATTAAGCAATTGATGTCCCCTTGTCACTTTTGGAAAGAAAGTTGAACTTTCCAAAGGGTTTAAAAAAAGGTTCAAATTGAAACGGTGAATGTCCACCGGTGATTGCAACGTAAGGGAAGACGACAATAGATATTTTTTTCAAAAAAATAAAAAAATTTATGACAATGATGAGGTTGAAAATGAATGCATAAAATAATAATAACTTCTATATTTAGTATCCGATATTGATCCCATCCAAATTTGCAGGACACATTTGAACTTAAACATTCATTCTGACATTTCCTAACTTGAAAATTGCGTTAAATATTCGTTTTTCCTACGGTTTCTGTGGTCGGAGGGGGGCGTTGACACGCCGTCTTTCCTAAAAAAAACCTTTCTATAGTAATAACCGTAATTATACAAGAAACCCGTAGAGAAAAATTTGGTTCAAAAACGGATCAAATTTAACATAGTGCCATGGAGAGTGTCAATGACTTAGCATGTGAGTTAAGACCACTCAAAGCCACAAAATGATATTAGTCACGTTGCCAGAAAATGGAATATTAGCACGAAGGACAAATGGCATAGCTCGCACGAACGATAAGATTTTAGTAGCGCAATGTAATATAAACCTAGAGAGGCTAGACATAATGTCAGTCGCTGATTATTTTCCGCAGAAAATGACTAGCGATTCACCTTCTGATATTGTCCGGAACCCGCTGCATACTCTAAGGGCACAGAGTCTGTATGTTGCCTCCATACCCTTCCTGTACGATGCGGTGCTGACTGCATTCGCCCATATGGGGGCCGCGTACAACATAGTTGCCTTGCACAAAGATTGTAAGAGTAGCCTGCGTCCTTGTTTTGGTCCTCTGGCGTTCAGCATGATTCTTGACAGCGCTATAGCACCGTTGGAAGCTTTATTGCTTGCTTCTGCGAGGTGCTCCATTAAGGACAGTCTGGTATTCATCATAGCTCCCAGGTTTTTGATTGCTCTTGACGGTTTAATCGAGATAAATCCAACCTGAATGGTGGCTGTCTCCACCAGTTTACGGCTCGATATGAGGACTGCCTTTGTTTTGTGGCGTGCTATGTCAAAGCCGACCGTTGAAAGGCACTACTTTATGATGGTCACCGTTAAGTTTACGAGGTACTCTACGTCCTCTAGCGTTTCAGCCACTGTGACACTCCAAAAAGCAGGCTAACAGCATTCACCAGTACTGATCTTTGGAGGAAGCGAGGTGGCCAGCTTTTTTTCTGGTCCTGTTTTCCCTACCGTCAGGGGATAGCTTCCGATTTTTTAGCATCCAAGGAATAGGCCGGTCCTGTTGTCCATTTACGCGGCTCGCTGATTAGCGCTACATCAGCCTTTAAGTCGAGCGTGGTCTGACTTAAAATTACATTTGCTGCCTAGCAATGGTTCACGTTTACTTGCATGATCCTCACTTTGCTGTTTGTTTCCTGCTCATGGGGCATCTACTGCTTCTTTCTATATGGGTAACCTGTATCCTCTTCGCTTTGCCTCATAGGAACCACTTGGACCCACTTGAGCAGTTTGCCACCATATGACCCGGTTTCTTGCATTTCACACTACAGCCGCTGCGGCCTACCTCGCTTCTTCACCTTATCGCTATGTGTCCGAACTCCAAGCATTTGTAGCAGAGTCTTTCTGCCACACGCACTTTTACACGGCAGCTCGACCAGCCCACCTTAATTTTGCCTGCCGCCAGGAGCTGTTTTGCAGCTTGCTGCGCCAGTCTAATAATGGCCATATATTTCCTAGTGTTCTTCGGGACTGGCTGTCCTACCCTGGCTCTTTTTTGGCCACCTGGAGTGGCCACCGCCATTTCCCTGAATACATGGCTATAGGAAGCGAGGCTTGGCGTTGCTTGCGTAAACACACGCTTATCTGTACCCTTAGGAAGTCGGTTTCTAGCTTTCTGCTTAGGTCTATTTGTATCTCCTTAACTAACGTTTTTTCTCATTACAGGCTGATATCAGCCAGTCAATTAAGCCCTCCAACTCTTTTACCAGATCAGCTGGTAAATGTACATATGTACACATACATACATATGTACATAATTATAAAAAAAAAGACTAAAAAAGGAATTAGCACACGTAAAAGAAAGTCATATATAGTTAAAAGGGTTAAATGTGCATCTGATATGTGATCATACATCTTTGATTATAAGTGTGTTAATTATGGTAACCTTAATAATATATGCAAAACGGATGTAGCGGATGTAATGTAGCATTAACACATTATTTCTAATTAATATCTTAGTGATTTTCAATTTAATTTTTCAGACTATAACTTGTTTAAAAATACATCTATGATTTATATGAGACTAGCTACCCATAGCCGAATACCAGTATTCAACTTAGTTGGAGAAATGTGTTTTTGCTGCAAGAATTATTTTTAACTGTTACCAACCTTTGGAGTCATCAGTCCCAGTCGAACGCCAGTCATAAGATGCACAACGTGCTGTTTGCGGTCTTCCGGCTTCCAGTCGATCCATTTTACGCACAGTTTCCACACATGGTCTTCTTCCCGGGTGTTTAGCTCATCGTCGCTTATTATACTGTAAAAGTCCTTTACGTTCATATCAAGAATGTCAGTATTGCAGTTTGCCACTTCCGTAAAGAACCTTAGCGTGAAATTGCGAGCCTTTAGGTAAAGGTCCTTAAGGAATCGGAATCTGGCGGAAAACGGGGTTTCATTATAAAAATCAAAACAACTATATGATGATGAGCGAAATTTAGCTTTTCTTTTTAACTTACCTTGCATATCCCATTATACTGACACAGTTCTCGGGAGTAAGGGAACGGCTAAGGTAGTCAGTGCACTGCTTGACTAAACCAACCATTCCAACGTAGTCCGCGCAGATAAGAAGTTCGTGCACATTGTTCTCGGATATGTTGGTTTGACGCAGGTAGGCGTATTGAATCACACAATTCATTATGCATGCGTTTATGCCAGGGATGTGGATAACGCATTTCTGCTCAACTGAACTAGACCCAGCGCATCCGCTAATGTCAGCACTAAACCCAGTAAACTGAGCCCTGGCGGGGATATGTGGCAGCAGAAAGTATGTGCGTTTAATTAAGAACTTACCGAAAGTAAGAGCTGCATGAACACATTATTGCGCGGTGTACATTAAATATCTGATCCCCCACCAAAATCTGGGCATCGCACAGGAGATTCGCCTCGCGCAGTTCATTTAACGTGTTAAGAGCTTCATCGCTTACGGTGGCCAGCAAATTCTTATTGGATTCTTTAAAGACAACAGTGGTGTTTGCGGGCCCGAGAACATCGTCCTCCGGATATCTGTCGCCCGTATTAAGCTCCATCAAGTTTATTAAAATCGGGGGAAGGTAAATTTCAAGATAGCAGTTGAACCACTTCGTGGTATTGATCTCTGATGTTGATTAAGGTGAAAATTTAGTTTTTAAATGGATATTTTAGGTTCGATCTGATGCTATGGTGCTCACCTTGTAAAAAATGTTTTGCTGTTTTCTTTTTATTTCTGCGAAGGAGAAAAGACTCCCTATTTTAATTAAGAAAAATAAATAATGCCCGATATTTTATAAACAGCATGACAGCTTTTTATATATTTATATATTGTATGTAAGCCAGTAAGACCCCCAAACTCAAAACTGCGTTTAAAATCTATTATTCTGATAACTACGGTTTTAAGCAATGACAGCTTTATGCTGGCAAATGAGTTCTGAAACTAGGCTATCTACAAATGTAAGTATGTATACTCTCAAATCCTGTCTTAAATGTATCTATATATTTATAAGAACGGCTTTACCAATATGGCTTGGTAAGGAGGTAGCTTAGAGCCAGGAAAAAGAACATAGGATATCTACTAAAATCGTCGTACGTAGATAAATCATTCAAACAGGGATGCTAAAATCGACTTATAGCATTTAGTAACAGAAATAAAGAAATACATATATTCAACATATTCAGTGACGTTTTTGTTTTGGTTTTTACTTGTATTGCAGTTATATTTATATATTCAGCACTCTTATTACTGACCCATCAAATGCCAAATTAAATATTAAATTTAAACAGAAGTTACAAAGAGTGAATACCAGTGCAAGTGGTCGGAAATGTTCAAGAAAAAAAACAAAACAAAACAAAAAAATTGTATTTCGTTTGGTGACTGAATGAGGCGGAGAGGGAAAAAGGAAAGTGCCGCGTTAGTATGGTTCGACTGGTTCGTGCTTCTCAGTCACAAGAGCAACGTGAGGCAGCGACGATGCAAAATCGTCGAGCGAGCAACAGAGGTCAACATATATATCCTCCTTTTGTGTCTATGACCTTTTGAAGAGATTTGGTACGGAATCCAACAAGGTTTGGAGTTAGTTCAATTGCATCTTTTTCCATATTATCGACCACACATTTTCAATTATATTCAAGTCCACACATTGGGGTGACACTAGATTGTTTCCACCACTACTTCTCGCAAAAATGTCGTAATAATTTTCGCCTTGTGGCAAGGAGCGTTGTCCTGCTGGAGAATAAATGCTTCACCGATAAATCTGTCGTCGCTGGAAAATGCAAAATCGTTTAGAGTATTTACATATTGACCCTGGTTTATAAATCCGTTAATGGGAACTAAGTCTCCCACACCATTATAGGAAACGCATCACCAGAACATTACGCTCCCACCTCCTGGCTTACTTCTTTGCAATAATCTTTGTTTAATCGTTCATAAACTTTTTTTGGTGATGAGTGGAACTCAAAACTACTCTCATCCGTCCACAAAACATTGCGCCAAAATGAGAAAGGCTTTGAGATGTACTTTTTTGCAAAGTCCTAACGCTTGAGTTTATTATAGTTTATTGCTATATATGTTTTTATGCCAGACTCAATTAAATGCCTGCTTATTTTTCTTTCACTTATAGAATTTAAAGCAGTCAAATTTCACTCGCAGCTTTTGTGGTTTTGAGAGGATAATTTTTGATTTGGCGTACAATCAGGGTTCTGCATCAGTTGTTGTCTTTCGTTTTCGGCCTGCTGCGCGTGAATTTATTATTTGATTTATTTTTTTTATATTTTGTATATGTTGGTTGCTAAGAGGATTAGTCCTATGGTATCGTTTAATTTGCATCCAAGTTTCAAGCATCTGGCTATATCGGCTAGAGTACTATGAAACCTCTCTACTTGGCCATTTGATGTGCGTTGGAAATTGTGATATTTAAATGATTTAACAAAATGGTTTTAATAGTCTCAGAACTTAATGATCTTTCATTATCCCAGTAGATTGTTTTGGTTTTCGGAAAGAAATTTATTATTTGTAGTAAAGGTGCTTTTTACTATGGCCCTTGATGCGATGGTTTGCACTATGGCGAATTTTAAGAATTTGTGGATACGTGTAAGGAAAAGGGCTCCATCTGTTGAGAAAATATCGAATTTCCCCAACGAATGAAGGTATATGAGTTTCTGCGACCATTTCTTTTGATGGGTGGCGTTTTTATTTTGCCATGGAACCATGGAAAAAATAGCCCCTAAGAATTTGTTTTACATTTTCTTGTGCTGCTCGGTGAGCCTTGTTCTGTTCTATTATGACAATTTCTTTCTGTTCGGTTGAGTCTGTTATGACCTGTACGAAGTTTTTCGTGTGCTTAAAAGAAGGGCTAGGGAAGGACTCTACTAGTCGGTGCTGGTTAAACGCTAAGGTTGGTAGGGAGCAATGTATCGCGTTTACTACCTCTGCGTTTACAACATCGTGTAAAGCTTCCATCAGATTTTCCTGGTTGGGAGTTACGAGTATGTGCCTGACCTTGCTCTTAAAAAAGATGAATGTACCCACCGAGAAACTATTTCCGTCCTCGATTATTATTTGGTTTTGGAAGCAGTTTACTGGGCTGTCGGTTGTCTCGATGGTGTATATCAGGGACCCTTCGCTATGAATTGTGGCTACGTCCGACTCCTGTCCGTCTTCTAGAGTGTTAATGTTTTGGCGAGATAATGCGTCTGCCACGAAATTTTCTTTTCCTGGTTTATAAACCAGTTTTGCACCATTGTCGTCAATAATCCCTTTCCAACGCTTCAGCTTTGCATTGGTATAGGTAATTCCGGAGGCTTTTAAGTGCCCAAACAATGGCAAGGAGCTCTCGCTCATAGGTTGCGTAATTTTTTTCGCTATCACGTAGGGCGCGTGATATCATTGTGATTGGGCGGCCATCTTGAGATAGTACTGCCCCTAGTCCGAATGGCCTCTTAAAGTCTGGATATGAGAGCAAAACGTCCTCCGATGCCAAGATTTCCCTCAGTCTGCCAAACGTATCTCTCTGTTCCTTGGTCACGTTGATATCAATCTTACTCGATTGATATTTACTAACCTTACCATTTTCTGCCTTCAGGATGCTTGTTAGGGGTCTTGCGATGGTCGCGAAGTTTTTAATGAAGCACCTGTAGTAGCTTGCTAACCCTAGAAAAGATCTGAGGTCAAAAAGTGTTGTTGGTGGGGGAAATTCCTTAATAGTTTGGAGTCGCCCATGTGACACTATGAAGCCCAAGTACTCGACGCTTCTTTTAAAGAACTTCGATTTCTCTTAGGATACTCTCATACCTGCTTATAAGAGCTTGGTTAAAACCCAGTCCACATCCTTGACGTGGTCCTCTATTGTTTTTGAGAATATTATAACGTCGTCTACATAAACGGAGCATATTTTTCAGATTCCCTCTCTAAGGACGTATTTGATAGCCCTATGGAAGATGCTTGGGGTGCTTTTAAGTCCAATTGGCATTCTACAAAATTCGTATTTTCCATTATTTATGAAGAAGGCTGTTTTTTCCCTGTTCTTTTCCGCCAGCTCTATCTGGTGGAAGCCTGATTTGAGGCCGAGTGTAGTGAAATACTGTGACTCACCCATATTCGACAGTATTGTCGAAATTGTAGAGATGGGATACTTATCGTGTACTGTTTTCTGGTTTAATTTTCAGAAGTCGATAATTAATTGCTTCTTCTTAACCCCATTCTGGTCTATACCTTTTTTATCTACAACCCACGTAGAGTTGTGACATAGGGATCTGGATGGCCTTATTACTCCGTCCGCTAGAAGTTGTTTAACCTCTGCATTGACGAGTTCGGTTACACCCATGGGGTGTGGGTACGAGTTGGAGGTCACCGGTTCCCCATCAGTTTTTATTGTTGCTATATTAAATGGAAGTGCTTCGTCTAGATCAGCGAAGGCTTTATGATTTTTAACAATCATTTTATCAAAGGTGGCTTTAATTGTCACGGGGACGTCTTCGTCATCAATTTTCATAAAGTTGACGTTTTCTGCCCTAGTAAATCGGATGTCTCCGTTGTTTGGGTGAAGAACATTCCCGGGTTTCGAGTTTCGCA